AAAGTATGCTTCTGTTTACTCCGGTATCGAGTGTATTCGCAGAAAAGCTTAAAACTATCACTTTTCTCACAAAGTACTGTATACTGTATAAACGTACAGTAACATGGTCAGAAGGAGCAAGGAGCACGTAAAAATGTTTCCGAAATAACCACATGTAAGACTTTGATGCTTAAAATGTTTAGGGAGAAATGGAATACTGATGTGTATTTCTTCTTTAAAATACCAAGACCAGCAATATACAGTTTACATAATATGTTTATGTTCCTAAATTAATATCGTTTATGACCTTTCAGATGCATTATGCTCCTATTCTTTTTATGCTCAGCTACTAAAATTTCCTTTTAGTGGTAAAATTCCACATAAATATTAAATTCTAAGCAGACTAAAATGTGCACAGTAAAGAGATTAAATGATAAAATCTTTTCACTACCAACCAATGCACCACGAGTGCCCCTGTCGGTCGTTTTGGCCAGCCAATCACGTACCGCGGTAGGGTGTGGTGGGACACGCGTAGATGCCCGCTGTATGGGTTTGTACCATGCATTTTGAATGGCTGGATCGGTATACTGTATCTGCCTTTTATTTAACATTTCCGCTAAACTACTGCATAAAATTACTAGTGCATAAAATGTATGGACAGGATCTCTGCCGTAATATAGACAGTAGATCCATCATGGGATTTTTTTTATTTCCAAATTGTGCACTTCAGACTAATTAGTCCTGTATTGATGGAAGTCCTGAAATATTTCTCACTCCCTGGATCTCTGCATCTGCTGTTTCATGGTGGTACAGTATGTCATTGTGGACAAAACGATCATTATTATTAAACATTGTACTCTAGAAAAGAGTGTTAATATAAAAACATTTAGTAAATATAATCCAACCTTCAACATTCTAGTGGCTAATTGTAAAGTGTTCCATTCTGTGTTTTCTTTCTTAATTTTCAGTTAGCTTGAAAATAAAAAAAGGCTATATTACCTCATTACCTGTGCCAAATGAACAATCTTAGTAGTAAGGTGATTTTGACCTAAGGCATTAGCCTATGTTACTACAGTGTATCACATTCAATCAAAATGCTAATGAATATCCAAAATCTATACAGTCCATTTTACAAAAAACATACCTACATGTATATACAGTAGAACAATAGTTTTTTTATGTGAAATGCTCTGTTAATAATTCAACATTAAGAAAGAACAAAGAAAATTAAAAGCAAATGTTCTCAATGCTATAGAAAGCATAATGTGTTTTAAATGCACTTGTAAAACTGATATCACAGTCACAACAATCTTAACAAAGTCATTATTTCACACAGCAATCAATCTTCTTGAACTTAAGTATTTTTTCATTGTAAACTTAGAGTAAAAACAGTAGTAGTCCCCTATTAATTATCTTGGCAGAATACACAACAGAATGGGAATGCAAGGGGTCATACATTTTTTTATTTATTTTGCAGCTTTGTTAGTGACACAAGTGCACCCTCAGATGCACACAGGAATTGCCTTACCACTTGAGGACAAGGTGATGACAGCTGCACTCTGGTACATAAGAGGATGGCTTACGGAAGGATGTTGATATTGAGCCAGCACGTAGACTGAATTCCGCCATCATCTCTCTGTCAGGTAAAACATACAACATGCCTTACAAAATGTTAATCTGATATCACTGAGATTACATCAAGGAATAAAAGCAAATACAACATACATTGATATTCATTTTATACTCTTATAATAATGAATACTATTATATTTATCTTATTTAAATCTTATTCTTATCTTATATTCTTAATCTTATATCTTATTTGAATGAAGATTTTATCACATTTATCACATTACTTTTAAAGAGATTTACAACAGAGTTTAGCTATTGAATCTTATTTGTGTTTCAAATAGAAAAGTTATCTTAACTCTTATTTAAAAATGCCAAATGACAAATTCAGAGATATAGAGGGTGATATGGTCACTTATAATACCTCAACTCTGTAATGGTATACACCATATAAAGGGCAAATAAAACTGAAACAAGGCATGTGTGTAGATTGTTTCTATCTTACTAATATCGTTGTTAATGCTAGGGTACTGACATATCTTTACGTTTTCATTCCCTTTTTAATTTTAGGATTTCAAAAAAAAGGTGCAAAGTGGGCTACTGAAGCACTCCTTCAAACGTTGATAGCAATGGAGAAAAACTCCACCTTTGCCAGACCTGTGGGTTTTCTGATTACTGGTTTTCAGAATTTGCAGAACAGTGAATATTATTTCATATTCCTGGCTTTTGTTTACATGGGAACCCTGGCAGCCAACTTCATCCTAATTTGCATTATATGGCTTTCAGAGCGTCTCCATACACCAAAGTTCATAGCAGTTTTTAATTTATCTGTTATAGATGTAAGTGTTAGCACAGCCCTTATTCCAAAATGTATAGATTGTTTCCTTTTTCACTCAAGTTTTGTCTTATTTGAGACATGTTTAACTCAAATATTTTTTTTCCATTATTTCTATGCTTTGGAATCTCTTGCCCTTGTTGTTATGGGTTATGAAAGACTCGTCTCTATTTGTTTTCCACTGAGAAGCAGCACAATCAACACAAACACCAGGATGTTTTTTATAATTGTTTTTTGCTGGGTATTAGCATCCATAGTCCCTTTTATGTCAATAGTTTTTATAGCACGCTTGTCATTCTGTCAACCTGTTCCTGTCATTAAGAGTTATTTCTGTGATCATGGACCAGTGTTTAAAGAGGCCTGCAGCAGCTACACTGCAAACTGGACTATAGCTAGTGTTTATACTGTTGCTTTCATTTTTCTACCACTGGCATTGATTATTTTATCATACGTGTGCATTATAGCTGCTCTTTCCAGGATTGCATCTGCAGAAGGGAGGTGGAAGGCATTTAAAACATGCACAGCGCACTTAGCCTTAGTGAGCATATATTTTATTCCTCTTTTAGTAACATATATGATTGTTTGGACCAATTCACCACTGGAAACTAACACCAGAATCCTCAACACATCTTTGTCAACAACCCTGCCTCCTCTACTGAATCCCATCATATACACCTTAAAAACTGAGGAGGTCATGGAGCAAATTAAGAATTTTATTAGGAAGCGATAGATTGTTAGTACCCTGAGTTGTCTGGAAGTGCAATCTTTCTCTGTGAAGAATAACAGATACTCAGTGTTTTGATGCAGTATCATTTATGCAATAAAACAGAGTGACGTACAGAACAAAATGTTCTTAATCTGTATTTTTTTAATACATGTTCGATTACAAAAAGGAATTATCATTTTAATCCTGGACTTGATCAACATAAAATAGTAATCTTCCTTTTTTAGTCTTACTTTTGCTTTTCAGAAGTATAATTTTTTTTTAAAGGTTTAAGATGTTTATTACCTGAAGTTCTTCAGCTAAATCTGATGCAGTCCTAATATTTAAATAATTAGTGTTTTAGAAAAATAGCAGACAAGACGTATGTGTTTTTGTCAAGCATGAATTGGAGATCCAGGTTATTTGGTTATTGAAACATAAGGTACATTCTATATTTTTTTTGCTCAAAGGCCTGATGAAATCCTTAATAGTTAAAAACTTCTGCCCTATACATTTCTGCTTACGATTGATTTACAAACCATTCATCCATTTTCCAACGATTTATCCAGTTCAGGGTTACAAGAGTGCCAGAGCTAACCTTGACCATCAACAAAAGGAAAGTGGGATACGCTCTGGACAGGATGGCAGTCCATTGCAGGGCAAACACAGAATCCACTTAAAGTAACTGAACACATTTTACTGTTTCAATTTTGCTTTACATTCTATAAAACCACTAACACAAACCCTGATGGGTTTGGTCAGAACAGATGGGTAACTGCTACAGGAAACCTGATTGGTGTTATAAAAGGTGTCAGACATTGGATCTTAATCCCAGATAATGATTAAATGTTTATCAAAATAATTCATGGGACAGTTTTTTTAGGGTGGTAATGCCTGTGGTCCACTTCCGATTTTCCCATTTGCTCAGTCTGGCTAAGCACAATTTTCTCCTTAAATATCATTATTGAAGCAAATTTTCACTTATCTATTTCTTCTGCTGTGTAGTAGGGCCACTGGTTATTATTGTTATTACTGTGATGCATGCATAAACCACCAAAACAAATATTAC